AGGTGAGGTGAGGTGAGGTGAGGTGAGGTGAGGTGAGGTGAGGTGAGGTGAGGTGAGGTGAGGTGAGGTGAGGTGAGGTGAGGTGAGGTGGGAGAGAGAGAGTGAGTGAGTGAGTGAGTGAGAGGATAGAGAGAGGGAGAGAGAGTGAGCGAGTTTAATGACCTCTCCCCTCTACTTCCCCCTCGACTTCCCACGGTACCCAAGACCCTAGTGGTAATCGATTGTGCCAAGTTTGACCTGCGCCCAGAAAGTAACGACAATAGTGAAGTGCCCACAGAGCAAGCGATTCCAACCCTTACCGTCGAATATTCTATAACTACATGTTAATTTACATCTTGATTATACTCAAAATGTTTGTTAAAAATCCCAATTCTCAATCACTGTGTTTGTAATCAATATTGTTGTTGATATTGTAGTTTTCCAATGTTCATGATTTAATTGTAATGTCATACCCAGTGTAGCCGACCTAACATGTGACTACAAGACCCTTACCCTGTTGTAAACCAGAGAGCCTGTACTGACATTTCCCACGAAAGAACAATGTTGCCATATTCTTATGTTTAGTGAATATTTGTGAACCATTCAAAATCTCCGAGAGCCGAAAGCACTCTGCCTTCAGCATCGGCTCAGGCAACACCTCCAGTTCTCACTCGAGACCGCTCGCCATGGCGGGCTGGGCAGGTCGGCCCGCTCTTCCCTGAGCGCCCCTGCCTTGCCCGTCCTCTGTATCCCACCTACCACGCTACCACAGAATAAAAACTTGAAGCTGTGACTACTTTAACTCAACACCACAACACTTCAAGTAACAAATCAGTTCCATACATACAGAAGAGAGAAAGAGGGGAGACACAGCACCCACAAGGTGTCATTACAGAAAGAGAGAGAGAGAAAGAGAAAGAGAGAGAGAGAGAGAGAGAGAGAGAATGTGAGGAAAGAGAGAGAGAAGAATGAGAGGAGAGGGAGAGAGAGAAAGAGAGAGAGAAAGAGAGAGAAAAAGAGAAGAGAGAGAGCGAAAGAGTGAGAGGAGAGAGAGAGAGAGGGACAGAGGGAGAGAGAGAGGGACAGAGGGAGAGAGAGTGGGAGGGAGAGAGGGAGAGAGAAGGAGATGAGAGGAGAGAGAGAGGGAGAGAGAGAGAGAGAGGGGAGGGGAGAGAGAGGAGAGAGGGAGAGAGGAGAGAGGGAGAGAGAGAAAGAGAGAGAGAGAGTGTGAGGAGAGAGAGAGGAGAGAGGGAGAGAGGAGAGAGGGAGAGAGAGAAAGAGAGAGTGAAAGAGAGAGAGAAAGAGAAGAGAGAGAGTGAGAGGAGAGAGAGAGAGAGAGAGAGGGACAGAGGGAGAGAGGGAGAGGAGAGAGAGTGGGAGGGAGAGAGGGAGAGAGAAGGAGAGGAGAGGAGAGAGAGAGAGAGAGAGAGAGAGAGGGGAGGGGAGGGGAGAGAGAGAGGGAGAGAGAAAGAGAGAGGGAGGGAGGGGGAGAGAGAGAGAGAGAGAGAGAGAGAGAGAGAGAGAGAGAGAGAGAGAGAGAGAGAGAGAGAGAGAGAGAGAGAGAGAGAGAGAGGAGAGTGAGTGAGTGAGTGAGTGAGTGAGTGAGTGAGTGAGTGAGTGAGAGTGAGTGAGTGTGTGTGTGTGACACACAGATGGAAAGAAAGTAAGTGCAAGAGTAAGTCAATGAGTAAGTGTGTAAGTGTAAGTGCAAGAGTGATTGTGTGTGTCCATGAAAGTAAAAGTATAAGTTTAATTGTAGATGTAAGTGAAAGTGTAAGAGAAAAGAGTCAAGTAAAATATTAATGGGTAAAGAATAAAGGATAAAGTATGAGTAAGTGTGCGTGTGTATGTGGAAATTTGGATACACATACTATCAAAGTAAAAAAGAGAAAATCATTCTTTCCTTTCTTTCATAAAATTTTGTATATCTAAATATTTAGAAATGACTGTGTAACAGATCTGCTATATAAAGAAAAAAAGAAAAATATTGTTGCATTTCAGAAATAATTTCATTTTCAGAAATTGGAAAATGAATCCTTTAGTTATAAAAGTCAGAAGTGAGACATATATATGATAATGCAAATACACTGTGTGTTTAACAACCATTTTATTAAGAACTGACTGGCAGAACAGACTTCAGTACATATGGCACACAACGTGGTGACATCACAAAAGTTTTCCTAATGTTATTACTGATCTCATCCTTTGGTTTCATAACTCATTATTATAACAGATACATTTAAGACATGATCACGAGGCAGAAATTGTAGAAGAGCATATTCCTGTTCTCGGACTACAGAGAGCCAATTCATAGTATGGCAGTTGGTATGAAACTATTGTTTTCCATCTTTCTTTTTTTTTCCCCAAGTGAAGATTTTAAATGCACCAAATGAATTCCTGAGAAGAGAGAGTGTAAGGTAAGCATGACATTTGGAATCATGGTCACCTCCTAGAAAATACTGCTCAGCTGAACTGCAGTGCATGAGCTGATTCAACTTTGCTGTGAACTGACCACATACATGATGGTAGTGCAATCAAAAGTTTGGTGCTTAATGCTGCATAACCTTACACTCTGCCTTACAGATATATATATATATATATAAGACACAGTTTTTAGTTTAAACATGAAATTTAGGATTACATTTGAAGATTTACCTTCATGAAATGACAGTATTGCTGATAGTTTAGCAATTAATTAAGTTTAGCATTTTTTTATGTGCTATTGCTAAATACAAAACTCAAGGAAATCAGCATTTTGGTTATTTTGAAATAATGATAAAGTTTTTTACAGGTCTCAATAAGGAGCTGCAATTACATGCTGACACTCTGATTATGTAATGGAAACTTTTTCATATATACTGTTATATGATTTAGTACTAGATACATGAGTAAATATATTCCTCTGCCACTGTTGTTTATACGTTCAAGTCATCCATCAAGACATTTGAGAACATTTTAAACAGTACATGAAATCTCAAGGCCTTTCTCCATGGGAGTGAATCACTCACCTTGAGGTTTCCAAAGTTCTTAAAATGCATCAAATTACAGAGAAGCAAGCAGAGAAATTCTGTACTCTGAAGCAATACCTCATTAAATAATTATAGTGATATATTTGAAGTCATATAGAGCATTATGTACATCATAAGTACTTCACCTGACAGCTTGTGCACTCATAATGTAAGATGTTCAGAATAACTTGAGGAAAATACTACATACAGAACACAATGTGGACATTATAAATATTGAACATGGGTAAGTCTACTCATGTCTTACCTAAGTTATAATAAAAATAAGACAAACCTGATAGCACTATATATATACTGTACAGAGGTTTCCCTACCATCACAAATTTATTGTTGAGACTCCATGTACACTGTACAGCTTACTTGCTCTTCCTTATCAGGCACAAAGGCAACACAGTACACAATGCTGTAGACTGCTGGAAGATAATGGTAAGCTATCTTTACTTTTGAGTATTTCACTCATCAGTTTACATAAAAGTTTAATTCCAGGACTATATGCTAAAAGAGTGGGCAGTTCCATGAGAGCTGGAATATGTTAAAATAATTATGCATACATACATTTGATCCTATAAGTTAAAAGTATCCTGCAGTGGAAAAGGTATACTAAATTCATTAGAAATACTGGCACAACCAAGTGACTTTACACAAGAGTAAAATGAGCCTGACATTATCTTCCACCAGCCCACTGAACTCCTCTACAATTATGAGCTCAGTGGCAAATAAGTTGAGTCCTGCAAGGGTTTATATTGGTTTTAATGATATGCTCCTCTATATAAACTTAAATTTTAATTATCAGGAAAGGGAAAATTGTATGCACAACTTTCAAGTCATTACCTTCAAATAAAGGCAAAGTAAATTTGGCTGCATATATTGTATATATGTATATATATTCTTTTCTTTGTTTATGATATACAGTCATTTACTTACCATCACAATACTCTCAGATACTATACTTTGTCAGTTTTGCGGAGTTTTCCCTGGACAGAAGCAAATTTACACTTTGAACTAAAATACTTGTGCAGTGACTGTGAAAATATAACTAACTTATATTTTGAAGGAATAATAAGATTAAAATAAAAAATATGAACTTTCAATATTAATTTTAAAAGCATTATTTAACTGCAGGAATTTTCTGTTTACGAGGTACTATAGCTTTGAGTAATTAATATCAAATGGTCATATAAGCTCACAGTAGACTATTCATAATAGGGACTAAATAAAAATATAATTTTTCCCAGGCTAAGAACAATAAAATATTCCCTGTTTCTTAGCAACACTTAGTAGTTTGCTAAAGTTTAAATTATTCAAGTGAAACATTTTGTTCAGTCTCTGACTTATGAAATAATTTTTTCATGTGGTTAGCTGAATTGTCTTATTGAACTCAGCTGTCTGATACAATTGTTACATCCACACACAAATAAAAGGGTACCATATATATTGTAGTAGCTATTCCTAACTAATAGTGATACCATAGTACTTCATTTGAAGGCATTTCTTTTATATATTACCTAATCTATGCAAGTGGAAAACCAGTTACACAATGAAATGTATTTCTAAAGCCTAAATGCACTTCAAATCACAATGTTATTGAAAAAATCATGCCATTTTTGCCATTTGCCATGTAATCAAAGCACAGCCAGAAGCTTGAATATTAATTTTATTACACAGCTGGAACTCTTCCATTCATTCTTACAATCCTTATAATGTTCTCTTATTTGTATTCTATTCTGTAGTATCTTTATTACAGTGCTTCCTCTTATAATAACTTTTAAAAAAATGTATAATACATAGATTGGATTTGAACCCTTTCATTATTCTCTTGCCACTGGATATTTGATTAGGCAGCAGTGTGGGACAAAGGATCAATTTTATTCTAAATTTTAATGAAATTTTTCTGGGCATAAACTTTTCACTAAACAAAGAAATAAGCAAATTGTCATTACACTTATTCTTTTTCAGTTTTTATTTTAGTGCTGCAGTAATGAAATTAAATCATTTCTCTTATTCTTTTTCAGTTTTTATTTTAGTGCTGCAGTAATGAAATTAAATCATTTCTCTTTTTGTGGTATAAAATATTTTTTTACCTCCATTAATGGAATATAAGAAACAAGCCCTTAATCCAAACATGCTATCATATATTTAGAGACTAAATTTTCAAAAATTTATCCACCTATACCCTACTTTCAAACCAACATGTTTCACATGGTATATACTGTAAGCATAGTGCTACTCTGGAAACAATAAAGAGTGGCTCCTTGTATGTTGATCATTTAGGTCATAGATCTTCATGTTGCAGAGAGCAGTGTCCTCCAGCTTTGACTGGACTTTTTTCAAAGAGGTTTTGTGTAATTTTCACTATACAAGTTTTTTGAGATGAGAATGCTGGCCACATTTGGTTGTCAGAAAGCAATGTGCAGATAATTTGAATGGCACCCTTCTGGATCCACCCACACACTAATCCACCCACACAGAGAGAGAGAATGGCTGTGGCACTTAGTATGCATGGACAGCACAAAAGGTGAAGCACTATATATACTGTGGAGTTTCTTGGCCAGTTAACAGGCGGAAAATTGAAGTAGGCATGGTCTTCATCCGGATCTGGAACAGATGATAAAAGAATATGAATATACTTTTTTTCACAGAAACTGAAATAAAAATAAAAGTACTATATGCATTTGCTGTATTCACTGTGTGGAATTCATGTTCAAGAAAACACACAAATATGTGGAAGGCCATTTCCCTTTATTGCTTCATGTTTTCTTGAACATGTGGACCAAAATCTGGGCATGAAGCTTCCTTGAGTGGTAGCTCTCCTTGGCCCACATGAATACTCAAGTGCAGTATCAAGCTCCTTGACTCCTCTTTGCAATGTTATTAGCCTTTTTTCTACAGACATGTTTTTGCTGTTTTGCAATTTTCCAAGGACTACACCTATCATTTGTTATGCTGTATCAACATGGTTTTAGTCTGCATTTGTTATGCATATTTATCTCTCAAGGTAGTTTATACTAATTAACTCAAGAAGAAACAATGTATTACTTGTGTTATTTTTCTATATCTTTACATTATTTACTTTTCTGTAATCCTAAACACCAGCAACAGTGATCAAAAATAGATTCCTGTGACTAGACATAGTGTCCTCACTGGAGATGGTCCTCTCCCAGGCACGGTTGATGAATGGTAAACTTCACCATTGAGGACTGGTGGAAATACTGCAAGAGCTCACAAACAAGTCAATATCACTTCAAGTGATTTGTGCACACATGACGAGTTGTGCATGTCATCCAGATCTAACGGGTTGCAATTTTTTTTTAAAGTTCAAAATACACTGGAAAATGATTTTAAAAAGTTAAATATCTTATGCAGAAAAAGAGAAAATAACATTGCAAAGGGGAGGCATGTAGTCTTGCTACAGCACATGTATTCACTTGCACTGGTCTACAAGCCACACACCAGACAAAGTGGCCACTCAAGTAAGCTTAATGCCTGTATTTTGTTGTGACGGAAGGGAAAAAAGTTAGAATCATTATGATTATTACTATCATTAATTCACCACTAAGTTCAGAATGCAGTCTTACCTCACCAACAGAAGTAGCCAAAAGATTTACAATTTTTTCATGAGGAACAGCAACCACAGACTGACTATTTATATCAATAATACGATGACCAACACGTACGCCCCCACGCTCTGCTATTCCACCTCGTAATAGACTACAGATCTGGAAAACACAAATCTCATGAAGTACTGCAACTCCATAGCAAAGATTTAATTTTGGAGTGCTAGCATATCATATTCTATTACACACAAAATGCATACACAATATTTCAAAACGTGGATTCAATTAACAACTTAAAATACAGGAATACTTACAACACCGTTTTGTACAGAAAAACCTAATTGGTATTTTGTGTCAGGTCTTCGAATTTTCACTTCGACAACAGGTGGACAGGGTACAACTGTGAGCTTCACAGCTGTGTTATACTTTGTGTTCTGCAAAACAAATTATGGCATTCAATGGAATACAGGATACTTTCAGCAGAATCATACTCCTAAAAGTAAATATCTAAACTCATTATTAACAGTATTCAATATTACACTTTTTTCTGTGGAAAGATCCATACCTTTATATAGTTCTGGCAAGTTGAGAGGGGCAATCCCACCAATGAAACTCCATTTATAGCTATTATTTGGTCACCGATGTTCAATTGGCCACACTTTGCAGCAGCACCCGTTGGTGAGAGGTTTGCTATGACCACAGTTGGGACCATAGATCCCCAACCCGACTCAACAACCACCACACCCAAGATTTCACTCTTCATCTTTGGTACCACAACCTGTAAGTGAGTTGATAAATCTGAATAAAAAGGTATGAAAAGTTCAGTATCTACTCTATTGTGAAGAAGGCCAAAAAAGAAGGACAAAACAGGCTGCTGGCTGTTCTCACTAAAACCAAAATTACTATAATTTTGGTAAGCAAAAATTTACATAATGTACAGTACAAAAAAGAAAAGAATACAAGGAAAGACTAAACATATCCTTGAACAAGTTATAGAAAATCTTTCTACCACCACCACTCCAGTGATACTTTGGCTGCAAATCTTAGAAATGACTACCAGTAAGAAAAAATCATACTGAAAAAAACATGACGTACTGATAGCCTGTTATATGATATACATTCTAAGAAAAGTTCTAACTTATGTGTGTTCACCCAAACTTGTATCCCTCTCGAACAGTATAGCTGTATCACTTACCGTTTTTGTGATATATAGGTCCTGTACGACGTGGACATGTGGACGGTGTGGGTGGGGCGGCAGAAAAGATTTAAAATGCCCATTAGAACATACTTTCACTTGGTGACTAATGACCGCATTTAAAATTGATTGGTCAAAGGTTTGGGCATTTGGGCTTGGTGGGCGTTCAGGTGTCATTTTTCATTTGCAGAACATAATCCACACTTTAAGCATAAAGCGATTTGCTTTTACTCCTGACATGTAAATACTGTATAGACATAACTACATGCATACAGACAGACATACTCAACTTAAATAAGCTCTGCACCACACAAATTTTCATCATCTTACCATACATCCACACCAATACTTTCAGTGCTTGGGATATCAAATAACTAGTGTTCATATAGTGAAAATTTTAAAAATCTTTTTGTGTTTTGTCTAATGAAAGAGCAATACCAGGCAGTAAAGAGCATTGGTGTGTTTATCTTTTCCTTTTACCTACCACAATGGGTTTACCAGTTGAGTTCTAGTCTACATGTTCTCTTTACCCATACCCATTAAATGTGACATGATCAGTCATTTTGAGCATTAGATAATCTATGAGTCTCTTTTCTAATCACTTGTCCATTTTCTAGTATTATGGGAAGAACTTTTCTGTATCAAAACCTATGGCTCAAAATTGATGACAGTGTCACACACAAAAAGTACATGTACTTAAGATTATCAGATTACTAATATTCAAACTCGCCTCTTTCTGCAGCTCCTTCTTGGCAAACATTTGCAGTTCATCCCCAAATATCTCTTGTGAATTTAGAACTTCCTGATAATCCATCTCCTTCACAAAGCTGTGATCTTCTATGCCATTAGCTTTCAGAAATTCGAGGTATGCAACTTGGAATGCTTGACCGATACTCTGAGCTATAAACTGTGCCTAAAAGTAAAAACAGGAAAAGATTAATAAAAATAAACTGTGCAAAGACATGAGTAATGAAAAATTATAATTTTTTCTCAAAGCATTATACACAAAGGTAGCACATCCTCCCAAACCTACCTCATCACTTTCAAATACATGGCAAATCATTTTAGGTGTCTTTTGTATGTTGTTGCCAGTATCATCTGTGGGCAGAACTCTCCTTCTTGCCATTAGAACAACGAGATCTCCAATGTCAGCAATGTAGGAGATAGTACGGAGGGCATGATCCATCATGATCTCCTGAAGATTTGTAAGGAACTTTAATTTCTCCTGCCCTAACCAATAATCAAACCAAGTTTCTTTTCAGTGCATATTTCATGTCTGACTTGAGGAAGAAAGAATGAAAAAAATATTTGTATATGTTAACAAGGAGACTTGAGAAAGAGACATTAGAATAAGTAAAATGCTTACTTTTAGGTCTGTGTTCAGCACCATGATCTTTTCTGTGGATATAAAAAGATCCACTTCTGTGCTGGGCTGTGACTCTCCATCAGGGGCCTGGACAAGAGCAAATCTTTTTTAGTGCTTCTTCATTCTCATTACAATAAACTTCTTGAGAAATTGTTGCAACTGTTTAATCACTGATACATTAAATCCTTTTTTAACAAGCTTATATATATATATCTACAAACAATGTTGGAATGTTTTTTTAAATGATATACCCACTATTTGTTATCAAAGAAACAAACTTTGGTTAGCAAGAGTAGCTGAAATAGTCCTGTCTAACAAGTTCTATGATGCTTTTTTTTTCAAATACTTAACTTTAATACTTTAATACATGATGTATAACATGGCCACAGTCATGTATTCTAAACAAGTTTCGTGTCATTTAAATTATCCTGTAATTTTCAACAGCAAAATACTGTTGAGCCTTTCATGTTACGGTTGGTACTTGCACTTTTAAAAATCGCATAACCATTCTTTTGCTATATTACCAAAATTCTGAAGAGAGAGAGAGAGAGTGAGGAAAAAAAACTCTTATACAAAAACTAATAATATTTATAATAGGCTGAAACTTACTTGTATGATTATATATTACACAGAAGGAAAAGTGTCTACAAAGGGGGGGGGGGGGGGTTGAATATCAAATCTAAAGAGAATACAAAAGAGGGAATCTAAAAAGAATACAATGTGAATGATAAGCAAGAAAGCACGAGAAGAAAGCTACCAACTTAAAGTTTCCAGGTAGGGGGGGGAAAAAGAAAATACCCAAAAGGGCATTTACAATTTAATGATACAAAAGCACTTGGCCCCTCCTACTAAGTGTCATGGCCTTATTGTGGAATATAAATATAATATGAAGACCAAGGGAGGCTTTCCATACTGACCAGTGCTACCTGCCATATAAATTAATCAGTCCACAAACAGACACCTATTCAGGAAAGTCCTTAAAAGTTGGTATCTGTGTATGGGTAATTATTATGATGCAACAAGTAGCCCTAATGAGTATGAAAAATGCTTTTGATGTATACATTTTTTTTTATTTTTTATTTATTTTTTTTTTATTTTATTTTTATTTTTTTTTTATAAATATGATTATCTAAAATATATTCAAGATTTTTTGGACAAAGGTGCATTTGAAATAATCTTGATATCTTGACATTCCAATCATGCATCTTGCCATACCAGTGTAAGCAGCATACATAAGTTTCTTCAGAGTGCACTTAAATGAATAGACTTGAGTGCATATTATTAAAAGTTCAACCCATCATTCTACCTGATTATGAATGAGCAACAAATTGTATAGCATTACTCAATACACTGAGATAGAATTCTAATTTCGTTGATGAAATAATCATTATAGAACACATGGGTCGTCCCTCTGAGAGAAGAAAGCCTATGTACTCTTTTATGCCTTACAGTCTAACTGCACTTCTATGAGCAACTTACCAACGCCTACACCGCAGCAGCAAAGAGGAAAACAGATACATTGGGTTAGTGAATTTTAGGAAATGTTATGAATTATGTGTAAAGGTCATTGGTAAAAACTACAACAATATTCAGGATTAATCACTGAGATATGTTTATTTCTACAAAGGAGGTAAACCTTGTTATGAAATATCTATATACAATTATTTTTTACCATAAAATTGTTAAGTTAGTCTCAGTGATTTACCCTGAAATGGTTTGCAAAATATTATCATTAATCAAACTCAGCAACAAAACAGCGTTTATCATTAGCATATTTAGATAAATGCATTTTATATCTTACTTTACTTAGAGTTACCAGAATGCATCTCAAATGTTCAACAATGAACAATAAACAGTGACTGCTACTATTCCAAAAACTGCTAGACACACTTCATTACTAAGTAAACATACTGTACAGACATAAAACATTTTACACCATTATGGATCAATTAATTTTAGCAACTTTAATGTCTAAATATCATACACTAAATACTAAACTATGCCATTAATGCCCCACCATATTCTGGAATTAACGTTAATACATAAAGAAAAACACAAGGAATAGCTAATTTTCTTAATTTCTCTGGTTCTTTCCACCTTTCTCTACCCTCTACCCCCCTTTTCTATTTCCCTCCCCTCTCTCATTCAGAGAGAGTGAGAAAAAATGAGTCTTGTACACAGTTTGTTCTGAGGAAATCAATAAACATACATATAACACATGTTTGAAGAGAAATTCGAGAAAAATACAAATAATTCTTATCATATAACTATAAAAAAGAAAGAAGAAGAAGAAGAAGAAGAAAAAAGAGGTTGCCATTCATATACCAGTCTGCTCATTCATAAATTCTGAAGAAAAAGCCTCCAAATAAGCATTCAAAAGACTATTCAAATTTATTGGAAAAAGAAAATAGACTATTATAATTTCCCTTACATATATCCACACATTAAATGTTTGAAGCATTTTTGAAATTTTTAAGGGCTTCAAAAAGATCCTATCTTTGTTTGCATCAAAACCTTCTGTCCATTTCTTTGCATCTATGAAATCAATATCTTTGGTGGACCATTTTCCCCTATCCAGCTAATCAATGAAAACTTTGTTATCATATCAGTAATGCTACAATGCACAAAACACATCCTCCTCAATCAGAAATTTAGTAAATTGCATTATGAAGACTGCCAAGAAATAACAGACATAGTCTTCAGAATACTTACCTTTTTTTCAATTTGTATTTACAGAGAGGATATCTGATACTGGCACTTTCTTTCTGTGCATTGCTCCTAATCATTTCTATGTGTATAGGTTAATCCCATAGCCTACACTTTATCAGGCCTGTCTGGCCTTTGATCTGAAGTTGTACAGTTTAGATTCCTTGCCTTTTAACTTTTTAAAATATTTTCTTCCTTATTTTGTCTTTTCATCAATTCCACTTATCAAAATTTTATCTTATATATTTGCTTGCATTTCCATGATGTTTTACATCCCATTCATGTTTTGATGTTACAGACTATGATTTTAGTTAAAGGCATATTCAACAACCAAACAATTTATAGTCATGATAAATGATAATATCAATCATTTTCCCTGAGAAAGATCATATAAAATAATATACATATTTACTATTTCTTAACTCATGCCTCTGCCAATTTAAAAATGAACATTCAGTCCCTTTCACACATACATTCTATCAATCTAAAATCTTAAATTTCAAAAATGATTCTGCATCACTTAATCCACTTCATTTCCATAATGGAAAGATATGATCCTTATGTGAACTCAAATAGAAGAGAAGAAAGAAGCAAGGAAAAAACATGTGCTTCTTAATCTGTTGCAATGTGGAAAAGCAAGATACTTGTCAAACCAAAACAAGAGTTCCATTCAGAGCATTTAAAATTTTCAAAAAATTTTCATAAACATGATTTCAATTTACGTCTCGTATAATGCCACAGTTTCCTTCCTTTATGATCCAAATATGTAAATTAGACCATATATAACCCACCTTTAAACGTGAAACGGCCTCCATGACCATATCCTTCTTGGGCCGCTTACAAGTGGTAGTCTTGCGCGCAGGCGCTTTACCTGACTCCTCAGCAACATCCACCGATCCAACCAGGCGCAGGTGGAATACTGTCCCAGCAGGACCAAGCCCTGGTCCCCCACCCTCCTCAGACACCCAGTCCAAGCTCCCACCACCTCCATCTATATCCAGTTCCTCATCCCTATCATCTGGGGTGGTTCCACTGGCTCCTGGAACTACCGTCAGGACTTCTATGCACTGATCTTCACTGTCAATACTCTCATTTTTATCACCCTCCCCTTCTGTTTCATCATCTGCTCTTATGACTTTCCGTTCATCATCTCTTCTATCTTCCTCCTCTTCATCTTCCTCTTCCTCCTCCTCTTCATCTTCATCTTCCTCCTCCTCTTCATCTTCCACTTCTGCTTCATCTTCTTCAACTCCCTCCTCCTCCTCCTCTTCCTCCACCTCCTCCTCTTCACCATCATTATCAACATCTTCCCTCTCATCTGCCTTACTTTCATTGTAGGTTTTGCCATCCCTAATATCTGCCTGTTGCTGCTGTTGTGGCTCTTTTGGCTCTATGATAGTTACAATATTTTCTGAGGATCCAATGGGCTCTTCCAGAATACCAGTTGGTAAAGGAGCCACAATTGTGACATTGGAATGGCCTGAATTTCCTTCAGACACATATGGGCAAGCTGCCATGCTATGAGACATCCGTGGCATTGGTCTCCAAGCGGAGGTGTTCCTGGAGGTCATATTTTCAGGAGACTTTGGGCTGTAGCCTTGGCCTGTCTGCAGTGAATGAATTACCTGTGGACTGGCTTGGGCTCTAGGTGAAGGATGGGGCCTGGAGGTTTTTGAATCTCTTGGGGAATGCAGATTCCTGGGTGAATTATATTCCTTGGATGAACTTGAATTTAATGCTGTCTGAGGAGGTACAGGAGAGTGATGGGAGATGGGAGACTCCTGTGGGCTTGCAGAGTGTGGGGGACCCGGGGGTGGTTGTGGGTCATGATTATCCACCAGCGCTTCCTTATCATCATCTGCATCCTGACAGAGGAATGTTGTTTTGGTTGGTTGTCTATCTACTGTAATGTTCTTTAAGTGGCGAGATTCATTAATTAATAATGAAAGTCGAGAGATAACTACAGAGGGATAGAGAATTTTTCAACAAGTTTGGAAACAGCTTAAAATGACAGAATTTGATTACTAATCATAACAGGTTATAACAATTTTACATTATTTATTTTCACTGCATCTACAATTAAGGAGGGGAAAAATTGGGGACTTGAAACATGTCTCTTGGAACACAATGGGACAGGTGAAATCATACATCTTTTTTTAAAGCAAGGCAAAATAAAATACATAACTAAACACATGAACAAGATGCAGACCTTCATGACTAATCAGCAACTTCATAAAGCCTGGGGCTTATATAATACTCATGGCTTGGTGTAACTAAGCCATGTTGAAACACAAGGTCTGAAAGGGTGGTCAAATTGCCATTTTCAAGAAGCTAGTTACTGTTACATGTTGCAGCAAATGACACACATGCAGCGACGGTAGCCAGCACGAAACCAAGGACCTTTGGGAATGACATAACAAGAATAACTATCAAAAGTGAAATTTTTGATGATAATGACAATACAATAAAATGATTCAAGAATAAATAACCAACCAAAACAGACATTAACACTGCCTGGTAAGCAGAATAAATGAAGAAGGAAAAACACTGGCATAGATTCTGTCTGTGCCCACTGTGTTACCTATATTATAGGATTCATTTCATAGGACTCCAGTAAAATTCACAGACAGATGACTTTCCATATCACATCTGATAAATCATATAACAACAGATAACACTGTAACTTTCATGATCAAAACATGCTTAATTGTCCCCATGTCAAGAACAGTCATTGCTCTCTTGGATCTGGTTCCTCCCACAGCCTTAAAACCTCCCCTCTGCTCTACCAATAACTTACACTCAAAAAGGAAGACCATTCAGTCTACCTGTCAGTTATTGCATTCAAAGAGTACTTATTGGTTGCAAGATATAGTGATGGTCAATAGAGTTGTTAGAGGTATGCTCAATCATCAATGTGACATGAGACAAAATTAATAGAAATCTCAACTAACCTGCCAAATTACAGATATACATGCAGAACTGTAAATCTAATGGCAGACAAGATGGTCCATAGACTATAAGCTCCAACGTTTATGGGAATGCAGCATGAAGATTCTGTATTTTTAAATTGTTATTCTAAATTACTGGTTACTCAACATAATGCACTTTTGGGAGACACTTTGACAATGAATCTGCAGACAGACAAAACACAGCTTGCTTTACACATGGGGAGCACATTTCCAATAAAACTCTGGGGGTGTACAGTAGCTTTTAGGAGTCATCAAAAAAAAGGTAATAACATGGTAACACAGTGTCACAAGGAAATGAACAGACATGCAGGACAAAAGCTGTTCTTCCCACCAATCAAGACAACAATATCTTCAAAATCTTTGTGAAAGTCTGATTTCTGACTTCTTGTATTTGTTAACAACTGGTCTGGAATTTGCTACTTCTTTAACATTGATGTAAACAAAATGCAAGTCTTGTGCTCACAAAACACATTGTTACACTGAAGGTCTACTGGGAAGTTAACAGAGCATCTGATACTTATCTCACATAGTACTGAAGTCAAAGGACATTTTTGCTTTAACTTACTAGATTATATAGATTATACAATTAACAAACAAAAAGGAATGAAATGACCAATTACTTCCTTGACTTGAAATATGATGTACTTTTTAAAATTCAACTTGTCATAAGTCCTATTAGTACACATATTCTTCAGTATTTCCAAATTTCAAGGATATAAGTCCCCATGAAAAATTACTGATACTACTCAAATAACCAGGTATATTTTTTTATCTTGATTGTAACTATCTACAGTAGGGTTCTGCTCAGCAAACATTTCAAGGACATGCACTCTTAACTGCATAATGCAAACATTTTACTATTGATTTACATCTAATGCATCTTTTCCATCTAAAATTTGTCAATAATAAACATACTGGATGTTAATGAAAATTCTAATAACTGTACTACAATGTATAAAAAAAAGCATTGAGAAAAAGGAGGTTAAGGAAAGCAGGACAGAGGAAGAATGAGAAAAGAAAAAGTGTGGAAATGGAGAGAAAGAAGAGACCTAGTGACATCTAGAAGGAGTAGATGAGGAGAAGAAAAGAAAATACATGAAACTGGGAGGCAGAAAAAGAAAAATAGCAAGGAAAAGAATGAAAGAAGGAATGAAAGGAATGGAGGAAGGGAATAAAAGAGAGAGAGGAAGGGTGAGAGAGGAGGAGGAGGAGGAGAAGAAAAAGAAAAAAGAAAAGAAAATAATAACATGTTTGTGCATGCGTATATTTGTTTAGATGTTAAATACACCTTCTATGTATAAATATATGTATGTATACCATATATCTAGAAGCTTATACACAAACAAAATGGCCATTACATATAAAGTCATATGTGGTACAATCCTGTCATCTTTGGTGTACCTGAGGTATATATGTATTTCTAACTAAAGGAAAATGCCCTCTTTAAAAGGTTCTTGACTATCCCTAGAAAATAAAAATGCCATGGTATTATTCTACTAATAACCAACTTCATTAATCTTATGAGGAAAATATAACTGAATCACTACAATAAAAAAAAATCATTAGGCTGACACTAAGTCCATTTCTTCAGTTATAAGACAAGAAATTAAATAATATTTTCTTATCACCATTTTCTCCATCTATTTATCATTTGAGGAGTTCAACATAACAATTCTTCCTATAATCTTTATCAAAATACCTGAAACCCAAACAAATAACATGTAACACAATCTTACTGATACGAACCCCATGACCTCATCACTTCATTCACCTGAAAAATTCATTGGCACACATTGGAACTTACCTTACGATCTTCCTCTATGACAAGACAGTGATGACATTCATTCTCAAAAAAAAAACACTCTGGTCTCACATCTTCCTACTTCACATAAGATACAGCTTTACACCTATTGCAACTTACCTTGATGTAAAATACTTAAGACCTCCAACCTTACCTTTATCCGTGAAACTGCTTCTTCTGCTTGCATCATCCGAGTGGTCTTAGTGGGCTGGCCTTCGGAAACCAGCTGTGTTGAGCCTAAGTACCGAGCACGGAACAGAACTCCTTCAATCAACACTGCAGGTTCATGGATCATCA